TAAATGAAGATAATTAGCATTAACCTAATTAAGATAATTAACATAAGCATGCTGGAATGTTTATTACATCTTTTCCTCTTGAAGTTTTGATTTTGATTAGCTGGCAAAAAACAAACAAAACAGTACAACGATCTGATCAGTCCTCATTGCACTTTCAAAACAGAATAAATAAAGCGGTTGCAGGAAATCATAGCATTCATTATGTCTGTGGGTTGCGTTAAGGACTGTAGGTCAAACTGGAAAACAAGTTGGTTTATTTGTTGGTTAAAGGTATAGTGGAGGATTTTCACAAATTTTTTAAAAGACCCACCCTCTCCACTTAAAAAAAAGACATGCACAACCCTGTACCTGCTCCCAAGAGGGAATGCCTATGAAGCGCATGCGAGAGCGTGCACAAGCTCATTTCTCCTTGTGCAAGCTCTGTTTAAAAGTTGCCATTTGCATTCTCATATAAGCTTAATTTGACTTACCACCGGTAAGTCAAAATAGGGACGAGCACATAGGACGGCCTTACATAAACAAATCACCAGAATGATTGACAATTAGGAGGACCACTTAAAACAACATCCTCCACTATACGTTTAAGATAAGTTAAGCTTCTATTCCACTTTTACAGTATATATTGATCTGACACTTTAGTAGGTACAGTTGTCATTTGTTTACTACAACAAATGTCCGATTGACCAAATAAATGGCAGTAACTCAATGAGTTTAGATATCTAGATGTGGTAAAGTCGACTTGCCAAAGTTGTTTGTTGATGGTTGACGGGCTGGTCTGAGTGTTTCAGAAACTGATCATCTAATGACTTCCAGAGACAATCATTTCTCAGCTTCAGAGAAAGCTAAACAAAAGAGAAAACGTCCAGTCAGGGACAGCTCTGTGGAGGAAAATGCCTTGAAGTCAAAGACTTACTATTTGACTATAACCAAATGAAATTGGCAAACCTGCATGTCTTTCTGTTGCTTTTGTCCAGTCCTCCATGGCTGCAGTCTGACAAGCCTCTGGTGACTCCCGTAAAAGTAAAAAAAAATCCACTGGACTTGGTTTCCAAGATTTGAAGAGGTTTCGCCACCTCTTCAGGAAGCTTTCTCAATTCAAAATGAGTCAAAATTCATTTGAATAGAGAAAGCTTCCTGGAGAGGCGGCGAAACATCTTCAAATCTTAGAAACTAAGTCCAGTGTATTTTTCTGAACTTTTACGGAATGACTATGACCTGGATGACTGGGAATCTTCATCAGCATATTGTGCTCTGGTGACTATTTTGTGCTGAATTATACAGCTTAACTCATCTAAGAGTGGTTGACAATGAGTTTGCTGTACTTAAATGGCCTTAAAGGAATAGTACACCCAAAACATGATTAGCCTTCATTTTCTACTCACCCTATATACACCCGATATATCAAATGCATCTGGAGATCTGGGAGGCTTCTTGCTGTCTGCTGACATTCAAATAATGGAGGTCTATGGTGCCCGAGTATCCAAGTGTCCTGAGTTGATAGCGTCCATAATTTATTCGAAACAAAGTCATTTAGAATGTTTTTAGAGCATAAACAGTAGTGTATAGGATTTCCTAAAAGCGCGCGCCTGCGAGTTCACGAGCCTACGGAAACTGCGGCAGACCAAACCAGATGAAAGTGCGCATTCAGCGTCTGCTCTTGATAATGCAAGCGTAGAAGAAGAAATTTGCTGTTTACCTGTGCAAAGAAAGAAACAGCGAAAGAAAAATGTCTGAGGACTTCAGTGTTGAGGAAGAGCATGAGTTCTTTGCCGAGCTGAATGCGCACTTTCATCTGGTTTGGTCTGCCGCGGTTTCCGTAGACTCGTGAACTCGCAGGCGCACGCTTTTAGGAAATTCTATACACTACTGTTTATGCTCTAAAAACATTCTAAATGACTTCGTTTCGAGTAAATTCTGGATGCTACCCACTCAGGAAACTTGGAATACATTGGACGAGCAGTATGGAGGAATATTGACACGTTTTTTGTGGACTATGGACCTTTCTGCCTCGGGCACCATAGACCTCCACATAAGCGTCGTTAGACCTATTTAAGGGTGGCTTCAGCCACCCTTTCTTTGGCATTAGCCACCCTATAATTATTTTGCGATTTTAAAAAATATATATTTTTTTTCTGTATTTATTTTTTCCTCATATTTTCCCAAAACAAATGCAGTAAAGCACCGAATAAAAGCCATAAAGAAGACAAGTTAATCTGAACAATCATAGGCGTAACTTCCTTAAGGACTGGTGTGGACATGTCCCCACCAATATTTTGTACACGTATTTTGCTTTCGGTGCTGTGTATATCTGATTAAAACCCCATTCATGCCGCTCCTCAGAAAGAAAATTAAAAAAGTTCTCCCCGCTGCTCACCGTCCACAAACCCCGACAAAAAAAACTCAGAAAAAAGAATCTGTTGCCTCTCGCTTTCTCCCCATCACCCCCCTCCAACCTCTCCCCATAACATTTGAATTGAAGATATCCGCGGGTGACGGGTCGGGTTCGGTAGTCATCCTAACGGGTTCGGGCGGGTGCGGGTTGGTAAAACTCGACCCATGCAGGTCTCTAAGCTACACTACATTCAGTATCGTTGCCATAGAAACAGACAACAGCGCCAATATATCAGAATTATACTAAAACACACGCAAATAATTTCCCACATAAAAAACAGGACTTTCAGTCCATTACAGTTTTCCGTTTTTAGAGGGTTGTTTATTTTGCGTTTATTAAGTGATGGCTGTGGTATATTAGCTTTCACTGCTATAAGCTTTCGCAGCAGTGATTGATTAATTTAAACACCTGCTCTGCTGATGGTCTATCGGAGTTGGTGTTTAGGTTGAACATAAAGAACACCTTTTATTTGAAGCTTCTTGTAGCTACTGTTTTAATCCCGGCTTTACTTAAAACTTTTTCCTGACTTTGATAGTGTTGCCATTCAGTAGCAAGCACTGCGCCCCTTTTTCTTTTATATGTACACGTACATTTAAGATTTAGCGTGTTAAGTTGACAACTCAAGGTAAGGATAGGATCTTGCAGGTGTGACGTCACTCTGCAGGGGGTCCAAAGATAAAAGATTTAAACAATTTTGGCATTGGAATTTCAGATTTAAGGGAGTTAGAAAGTTCACTTAGTAAAGGCGCAAATAATAAATCTGATTACCGATTACTTTTAAGCTGGTTGAACATACTGCGACAGACTGGTGACCTGTCCAGGGTGATCCCACCTCTCACCCAGAACGTGGCTAGAGATATGCACCAGCACCTCCTGATCCCACTGAGGGATAAGGTTAAAGAAAATGGATGGTTGAACATAGTCCGCTCTCCCAGATTCTATCAAATCAGTATTGATACCCTCAGGGGCGGATTTAGGAAATTTGGGGCCCTAGGCAAAGACAGGCAGGGGGCCCCCTGAGAAGAAAACCCATAAAACAGACCCATTCTACAGATAGAGAAATGTTAATAGAATAGACATCCATTATCTGTTCTAGGTTTTGTCCCTCTCTTCTTGTCCCTTTTTTCTCTCTATTTATCAGCGTTCTGATGGCATTTTAGCCAAAGGATTTTTATCAAAAACATAATTAATGTGCACAAATAAGTTTTTATAATTAGTTGTATTAACCATACATGGAAACAGAGTTTTATGGGGCCCCCAGAACTTGGGGCCCTGGGCAACTGCCTAGTATTGCCTAATGGTAAATCCCCCCCTGGATACCCTGCTAGTGGATGTTCTTGACAGAAAGACGGAGTTCCTTAATCATATTCTGCTTAAGGTCCCATAAGATCTTGTCCGAGTCCTGGTTTAAAAGTAAATTAATTTTAAAAAGTGACCCAAAATTGACTGTCAATAAATGTTCTACAAAATTGATATATTTATTTGATTTGTACTGTCTGTTTAGATTTATGTGATATTTTTTGCACAAAATATATAAGTGAATATTGTAACAGTTATGTTTTCAACTGTAAGCATTAAATTGATAAATGTTATTCGCATTTTTTTGGCTTTATCCTTTCCAACAAAAAAAAAAAGGCGTCGCGCAGGTAGCTCCCTTTCCTTATGAGCCGTCCCCACCAACTTTCAACACAAAGTTACACCCTTGTCTTAGACAACGCCTTAGCAGGTGCACTGAAAAAATTCGGCGCGCGCTACGCGTGCGCATTATCTTCTAGGGGCTGACCCACCCTTGTGTCTTAAACCTAGAGACGCCCCTGGACCTCCATTATTTGAATGTCAGCAGACAGCAAGAAGCCTCCCAGATCTCCAGATGCATTTGAGATATCAAAAAAGTACTCCAGAGTGTTGTTCAGCATGGGGGTGAGTAGAAAATGAAGGTTAATCATGTTTTGGGTGTACTATTCCTTTAATCAGTTGAAGCACCTGTGGGATGTTGTGGACAAGTAGATTTACATCATGGATGTCCAGAAGAGTAATCCGCAGCCTCTAAGTTATGTGATCATATCAATAAGGACCAAAAAAATTTTCAAAGAAATACTGCAAAAATGAGGCTCAGCTTACCACCATTAAATTGTATTTAATCGTATGTCTGATCATGGTATTTCCTCAATGAAAGCTCAATAGAAGGATTTCTTCTTTATTTTACCACTGACAATCATTTTGTTTACAAACATAAGATAAAAGTTTATTTCCAGGATCATGATCATCCTTCATTTTGGGCTGCACGATGGTGCACTTGTTAGAACATTTTATTTAAGTTGAATAACCTTACCAATTGAATTGAAATTCCGTTAAATCAACCCAGATTTGGATCAGTCCACGTATGAAGCAGGACAGGGAGAGTGTAATTAAGCAATGAGAGCTGCTCTCCACCCAGTAGTAACTAGTCTGTGATCTTCAGAGTAAATCCAATCTTCATTACTATCCTGTCAAAACTAGAAAGGACAGACTGTGATTTCAAGATGCTGCAAAGTTTCTCTTGATGCAGGGAGTCAAAGGGAGGACAGGGAAGGGGAGGAGATTGAAATGTCCAGTAAAAAAGCGGTGCGGGGAAATTAGAGTGTGTGTTTTAGCCGGCTGGAGCTCAGAGCGGGATCAGAAACTGAAACTTTCAGACTTGATCTTATTGCACGCTTCCGGAGCGGCTCTTTTATTAAGCCTTTGGACTGAACAAACCATTTATTTTTTCTTTTCCTCTTTGATTGGTGATTTCTGTTTTCTTTTTATCAGTCTTTCATATTTCGTCTCACAGACTGAACAATACATTGATTTTTATTATCATCGTCATATTTTAAGTGCAGATCATCAAAGATCGTTTGGTTTTGCGCTCCAGCGCAGTGTCTGGGTCCCTGGGGGCCTTTTTCATTTATAAGGACGATCTTCATCAGGTTACACGCGGCGCAGCTACGTGACTCCTCTCACTCCTCCAACCCGGACTGGCAGCAGATAACCCCTGCTCAGCATCTCTAATAGGCACATATTCTTACTTGATTGGGGGATTTTTATTTTATTATTATTTTTTTATGCATTTCTAACCCTGCGTAAAGTTGAACGTGGAGGGACCGTATCTCCCTGTGCGCCAACTCAGTGAAATGACACCGGTTTTTGTTTTCGCGACTGTGGTGGCGCTTTACCTGCTGCTTTCACCTGTACAGGTATGCTATTTAACATTCATTCAGACTTCACATTAAGCGCCTATTAGATGTTTGGGGCTAAAGTTTGGGAAGCATTTTGTTTGTCTTATAGTTAGTTTTATGGGTGTTCTTTGCGCATTTATGTGGACTCAAATACTAATGTATATTTTAGCTCGGTGTCAGAATATCATGCCCATTTTTGGATATTTTTGTAGTCTATTTTCACTTAGACATGAATATGAAATAATAATAAATTAATAATTAAAAGTCAGGGATTACCAGAGCCGGTCCAAGGTTTTACAGGGCCCCACAGCATGCCTCACCCTCTTTTTTTAATGAAGGACGCATATATTATATGTTTCTAGATATTCTGCTCAAATCATTTGTTGACTCCTCAAACACAGTTTTTTTTTTTGTTTGTTTGTTTGTTTTGCCTCATTAGCTGCAGTTTTGAGAACATGCAAAAAAGCAAAGCAAGCATACGCATCTGATCATTATGTTTTTATTCCTACATTGCTGCAGAATCATTGTTGAGGTTTTGGTCTGACAATACATGTTTTATTTACATCCTTTTACTTTTTTCATGGGGTATTATATGACAGACTCTGGCTAATTTTGAAACCACTGAGTGTATTTTTTTTATCTACATAAAATAGCTAATAGTAACAAATTGAAAACATGTTTTTCAGTATTTCTTGTAATTATATTCTAAAAAAGGTAACTTTTAAAACACATTTGAAATATTTTCTTATAATGTGTTATGAAACTTGGACAAAAGTACATCTGATATGATCTGATTTGATCAGATGACTCTACAAGTTGGTTAGAGTCTTTCTGTTCTTACAGTTAACTGTTTTTGTTGTTTTTTTTTAGAACAGAGTGGTGTGTTTGGTCACGCAACAGAGATTAAGGAATAAAGGGAAATTCATTGTTTTTAAAAAGGAGACACAAGCATTAAGCATTGCCCAAAAGGCACTCTGGTCTCAATAGTTTCTAAAGTTTTGGCTGCCTGACAAAACCGAGGAATAAGGTTAGAATGACCAGTGTTCTCTGGTGGACATTAGAGAATCATCTAGAAGGTCAACAGCTGCTTTCACTAATTAGGCCTTTATACTACAATAGCTGTCAGAAGAAAACACTTCACTAAAAGGCCCATGGTTACTTAGATTTTGCCGGAATGTACCATAGAGATAGCAAGACCAGAAGAAATAAAATTCTCTGGTCTGATAAAACTGAATTACAGCTTTTTGGTAAGCATTTCTGGGAACAAAAAAAAAAAGAGGTACTGCTTATGACCTGGCTAACTTCCTTGCAGTGAAGCATGGTGGTGGCAGCAACATATATTTCTTAGGCTCCAACTGAGTCTGCATTTAGGTTGACTGCAGTTATTCAAGAAAATCTACATTAGAATACCCTGAACTTCAGATAAATGCAACTCTTCCTCTGACACAACAATGACATGAGGCGAGTCGCCATACTATCAAATTTGCAGGAGAGTCAACTGGGAGTGCACTTATGTCTCTCTTTCAGAACAGGAATTCAAATATATAGAAATACTTAATGACTTTGGTGTACAGCCAGCCTGACTCAATGTGAGAGGATCTGCTAATGATTGAAACCACAAAAGTTTGCAGACCTTAGAAAGACATACCCACATAGAGCTTTAGCTGTCTTTGCAGACAAAGGTGCTTCTTTAAACTATTTTCTAAAAACTGCGCAGCCGTTGATACAAGATTTAGCTTTATTTGAAATATGCTAAATTATTTTATGTCAATATGCAGCAGCTACAGCTTTGAAAAACCTCCCTTATCTAATTCAAGAAGATCAAGTTTGTTGCTGAATTAGTCACGTGACCCAGAGCTCTGCTTTACGGCAGCCAGAGTTTCCCTGAAACAGAAGAGCTAACTTGAATAATCTGTTGATGTGCATAAAAACAGATATGATGCTTAACTTATCAGACATATATTTTTGGTTCCCTGATGTAGGTTTTAATCTAAAGGGGTGAACATGACCTTGTCTTTACAAGTGCCTCTATGTCTCTTTAATCTACAGGTCAAAAAGGGGTCTGCTCTCAGATTCTAAAACCCAGAGGGAGACTGTTTAATTTTATGTCAGTTTTGCCAATGGCCTACAGGGGAGCTAAACCTAGAAGTTGCAGATATAGAATCCCTAGTGCTAAAAGTTGCATATAGTTTGTTTATTATTACTAAAGCTTTTGTAAAAAAAAACTATTTTATTTTTTTGTTTTTGTCTTTGGATTTTTTATTTATTTATTATTATTTATTTATTTTTTACAAAGGATTGTTTTAAAGCCATAATCTGTTCTAGAATATGTCTGGGGCATTAAAGGGACAGTATGTAATATTTATCCCCATCTAGTGGTTCACAAAATAAATTACAAATGGCAGACTTGGCCAAGAGTATGAGACTATGGAGCTCATCCAGTGTAGGGAAACTAACTAGCAGTCTCTACTATGAGAGATCGGGTTTAATTAACCTGAAAATATCAGCTAAAATAAATTCTGAGAATGTCTCTGAAAACAGCCGAAAGAACCTTATAGTCATCTGCTTGGGTTACTTTTATGAAAGAAAAAAAAACAGCAACTAATCCTAAACAAACAATCTGTTTGCTATAGGGACAGACCTGTTTCTAACATAATGGTGAAACAAACTTCAATGTTTTATTGAATTATCTCACCGATCCAGCAGAAAACCTGCCACCTTTGCATTTGTTTTGAAGTTCTACTTTACAACAGAAAATGGAAGGTAGAGTGATGTATTTCCACTGACAACACACTTCCAAATACAGGTAAAGGCTTACTGTACCAGTTTGTCGCCTTTCGGCAGCTCTGATCAAAAATGGCAAAGCAACATGCCATCTCCCACTGGGCGTACTGCCCCTTATGTATTTATAAAATACTAGTTCTAAGGTATGAGGATGCTTTCTTTTTTTGTGCTGTTATTGGGCTTTTGCAAAATATTTATTACAGCAATACTTGATTTTTGCTTACAAGAAGATTCATTTGTTACATCGAGGGGCTTTAAATATGAAAAGGTGAAGCAGTGCATTTATTTTCTAGTGGCAGTGTACCCTATATGTATGGATTAACTTAAATTATTGAATCCTTCAGTTATATAGCTGTATTCCAACAAATTACAAATTAAAGACTTTGTTTGGTCAATTTAGTGACATTTGCTCTCTATACGAAAGAAGACATTGATCTGATGTATGTCTGAAACATTTTTAGGGCTGAAACCTTTTTTTTTTTGGTTATTTGTCGTTACAGTTATTGATAACATTTATAGTAATGTGAGAGACAGGAATTATCCCAGAATTTTAGAAATTGTAGTGGTCTTTTTTTTTATTTTTTTACAACAAATCAGAGCTTTACTTTAAATACTATGTCATCTGAAATGGTTTCTTATGACATACGACTCTTTTGACAGGTTTACAAGCATACCAGCTATGCTGATTTTGTATGACTTTTTTGTGTGTTTTATTGTTTTGGGGTTTTGCTTCTTTGTAGATTACATGCCCCTCACCCACCATCATTCTTTTCTGGCTTGTGGTTTTGTTGTGCCAGCCCATACTTATCAATCGCCCTATCTGGCCGCCCTCCCTTTGAAAATGTTTTGGATGAGCCTTTTGGAAGGTGGAGCCAAGTTGATTTTGTGTTCACAACAAACATGAAAAAAGTTGCTTGCCAATTTGTTACGGGTACACAATACAGAGCCTAATTTTCAATCCAAGAAAGTTTTTAAAAACATTTTTGCTAGTTTTTAATAGTCTCTTGTAACATAACTTTTAGCTTTATAAAAGTTTTCCTTAGAAAAGCAGACTTTTTCCTATCCTATACAGATTTCCAGTTTTCTTGGAAGTCTTATCTGCCAATCTGTGTAGTTCTGAGGGTCAACAGTTAGGAGAGAAAAAAATTTGCTCTAGGTTCTTTGCTAGAGATGACAGTTATTCTTTCAATTGGAAACGAAAGAATTTCAAGATGAAAGGTCTGTCCATACAAAAATAAAACTATTTCTTCAAAAGGAAAAAATAGGGTAGTAGATTCATTTCTTTACATAAATTCACAGAAGTTTTAATTCAGATAAATCTATTTTATGTGGAAAAAAAAATCTGATCAGACAAATCAGAGTTTGCTTGCAGTTCGAACTGAGCCTGGTGATTTGAGGTTGAGTTGCTCTTGAATGAATTCTATTCAGCTCACTGATTCGTAAGATGACACGTGACAAACCACATCGCTGGTCCTCTGCTGGAGCACATGATGTAAAGCTATTCTGTTATATTTGCAGAAGCTCAAAGCTCATACTTACTGGCACTGTCTTCAAAGCCCAGTTTCACTTACTTGAGTTGTAATTTTTTTGATCTTGTCAGCATAGAGAGATATGAAAAAAGCTTTGGTTTCCATCTGATGGAGATACTTTAAGCATCTTGATGCTATGTTCGAACACTATAGATACAGTAGATTAGAGAAGACAGATTATTCTTTAAATGTGAGAGTAAGTTAGACAACTTCCCCTACACCAGAAGCTTCCCTTTATTGTCAGTGCACTGCAGCATTCAGTACAACGTCTCAATGAGATGCATCCCAGGTATCTTGGTCAGGGAGCAGTGAGTCAGCACAAAGCTTGTCTGTCTTCAGCTTCTTGACATCACCTGGTGGTCTAATAATGAAAATCTGCTTAAGCAAAGTACACCTGAAAGTAACTGGAGACTCTTTCAAAAGTTCGCTGTGTCACAGATACTTGGTTTGTCATTGCCTGGTGCAACGTAAAGCTCCGTCTGTGACCCTTTTCATCTCTGATTTCCATCCCATGTGGCAGTTGTCCCTGATTCCTCTCATGTTTAATGCATATTCAGGTCCTCCCCTCATCCATTTGATTTCACACTTTGCACACCAAAATCGCTTGTGGAATCACCCCTCTGTACACTGAAGTGTACGCTGACTCAGAGAGGCTTTAAAGGTTTGTGAATGCTTCACTTCCTAACAGTTACTCAGGCTGGATAC